TTTTTCCCCCACTTAAGGCCTTATGGGGGGGGGGGGTACCTCATCTGCCAACACCTCGGCCCTACCTTAATAATCACCCTTCAGTGCAGAGATTAAACTAACCTGATTTTGCAAAGATGGAGAGAATCCAGAGGAGCTTCAGGTATGGTTTCATTGTGTCTTGATTGTGGATTCCGCATCAACACTTTGAAACATGTAATGTTGGCTTGGAGTCCTTCCTTGTAAACATTAGCTCGAAATTGTTCCAGTTACACATTTATCAGAGGTGTGGATGGGATAAAACCGTGATCTGAACTTTAAAACTTCTGTCAATTTTTTGCTAAATATTATTTACAATCCTAGGTGTCAGCTAAAAATGGCGTGTAGATATCCAACATACCTTTTGTTTTTGCTCATAATATTAAAAAGTACTATTCTGGGCCTGAAGCCCGGAGTCTTCATAGAGCTTTTGGGGGGAGCTTCCACTACAAGGTCTACATCTTACATGGCAGTCAGACCTCATTATTAGTCTCAACCGTCCACAGGTACATACACTCACTGGTCACTTTATTGGGTACACCTGTTCAACGGCTCGTTAACACAAATAGCGTTACTGTTATAGAACTCTATCTTCTCTCCTCTTCCCCATATTTAAAAAAAAAATGTTTTATTGGCATTTACATAGCGCTGACAATTTACGCAGAGCTTTACACATTCACGTCGCTCCAGGCAAACGCCTTGTTTGCCTCGCAGCAGATACGCCCCTGCGCATCAGTCCCTGCCCTCAAGGAGCTTACAATGCAAGGTCCCTATCTCACATGTATACATAAAGGGCCAATTTAGACCGGAGCCAATTAACTTTCCAGCATGTCTTTGTAGTGTGGGAGAAAACCGGAGAAACAAGAGAAAACCCCCACAAGCACAGGGAGAACATGCAAACTCCTTGCAGATAGTGACCTGATACGGGATTTGAACCTGGGACTCCCCCAGTGTTGCAAGGTAGAAGTGTTAACTAGGGTTGGGCTCGATGTTCGAGCCGAGCGTGAGTTCGACTCGAACATTGGCAGTTCGTGTGTTCGGCGAACACATGAACTGTCAGGGTGTTCAGCGGGCGACACCCCGCACAAGGCACTGTGCCTTGTGAAGCCCTGATTGGCTAAAGCCTTGCACCTGATCACAGATTCTTTGTGCCAAAACAGGGCACAAAGAACTGTGAGAGCCATGATTGGGCAAAGTAATGATGACTCTGCCCAATCATGGCTCACCTATTACAACTGTAAACAGTTGGACAGAGCTAGTTGTCACTGCTAGCTCCGCCCAAATGTTTATATGTTACCGGCATCTGTCAGAATGCCATTCTGTGGCGGGAGGGGGTGGGGTTTTTTTTTTTTTTAGTATTTCTATTTATTTTTTATTTCGTCGTTGTGGACAACGCTGGACGTCGTGATTGACGTCCTAACATTCCTACCAGACCTAAAGGGTCTGGTATTGTTTGGGAGGGGGAACCGCACGCTTTTATACAAAATAAAATAAAAACCACTACACCCCTGTGCTGCCCATGATAAAGTTGAACAGATTGTGTAGTTTAAAAAAGAGAGCTGGGAACAATTCTAACTGATAAGAGCTCAGCACAGGCAGGAGAGCACATGAATTATACGCTCACAAGATTTCTGGCAGGATTACCAGGTATTTATTTGATTTATCAAACAAATATAACAATGGTATATTTAACAGACCAAAAGTGAGAAAATTCACAGCTCTGAGCCAGTGTATATGATCGTTGTTAGGAGGTTAGGTTGCTAAATAGTTTGCTGACAAGTCCCAAGGGGCTGGGCCAAGCAGCAGCTGTCCCGGGTACTCGGCATTCCAATGGTTAATAACAAAGCAACATTCAAGAAAGAAAATAATCTCCGCTTCGGCCAGGTTGATATTACATTCACCATTCCAGCCGAGCAGGAAGAGTAGATTCACTTACCGTCTGCTATTAGTGGGGTACAGGCGTCTCCAACACAGCAACTGATACCCATCGAGAACTTGACGCCGGACATCGCAGTCACAGTACCAGCGGTATTACACTTGCTCACTGGAGCTCAGGATCGGACGACCACGTATGTTTTTTTTCCATCTGATAAATAATAAAAGTGCTCTTAGAAACTGACAGACACAAAGCGAGCCCTAAGGTGACTTTGCGAAAAGTAGACCCGGTTTGCTATGTTACATGCATGCCTAATAATCAGGGCCGGATTTCCCACAAGGCCAACCGAGGCCCGGCCTTGGGGCAGCAGGGGGCAGAGGAACAGCAGAGGTGTAGAATTGCTATCACCTGACGCCCAGGACATAAAATTCCGGGCACCGGGCATGTTTTCTATATTTAGCCCTGCTTTGGGCAAGCAGGGCTAAATATACAGTGGGGAAGCTGCTGCTTGTTTTGTACAAGTGATTTCGGCAATGTCGCAGCCTGCATTCAGGTGGGCGCATTGAGGAACCTGGCATTGGGGCAGCAGAGAGAGTAAATGTGGCCCTGCTAATAATGTGTCAATGTAACACTTCCAGGTATTTAATACCTCTCATATAGATCACCCTCCCAACATTGCCTTCATATGCTTTTCTTTAAACAAGGACAGCGCCATCTTTGCTCAGGCAGGGTCAACATAAACTTCCTTGGCTGAGGTGCCGGCTCAGAGATGACACAGTTGTGTAAATCTTTTTGCCTGCATATTTCTCGGCTTGCCTCTCACCTTGTGACTTGCTACAATCACCCGGGAAGGGGGGGGGGGAGACTGAGAAAATGCTTCCTGCCTGCAGAATGAAAGCATCATCTCAGCCTAGGAAAAGTCACTTGACTGTAGCGCAAGTACGAGTTTTTAATGATAAAACGCTGAGTTTTAAAAAAATGAAACCTTTACTGTATACATTGTGACAGCGTAAGAATTTATTCATGCAGGCTTGGCACTTTAAGGCCCCATTCACATCGGGGCAGCGCGGATCGGTTTCCACGCTGATTTTAAAAGGGCTGTTTCGGGAGTTTTTAATTGCGTCTCAGCGCTGAAACGCAATAAAAAACGGCCAAAACTGCGCTCAACAGCGCGGTTCCATTGAAAGCTGTTTGGAAACTGCACTGATCAGCGCGCCAAAAAAGGGGCAGGGAGCAATTCGGGCGGGGGGCAGTTCGGATCCGCACGGCTGAACCGCCAATGCCCTTACATGTTAGGGAATGGTGGACATGCAGACGATGCATGATGTGCCTGGAATGCAAAATCATCGTATTGAAGCTAGATAGATACATGTTACTCAAACAAGTAGCACAAGTCCCCGACCTAATTTCTCCTTGGGATTGGAGTATGTCGTAACATCACAATGGTTTCTCAGATGTTCACACCCCAATCAACATTTGCCATGACCCATTCTTTGGTGATTGAATGAAGGTGAGTTACACGTGTGGCTAGAAATGCTCGGTACCCTCCTGACATTCATTAGGGCTGAAGAAGCTTCTGGGATGAGTTGCGAAACGTCTTTAATGTTACCCAAGTCCAGCTGAATGTGACTGCCTACTGCTAGATATACCATGACCTGCACCGGTGAGAAGAATCTTCACAGGCAAAATGGAAGTCTCTTTCTTACCTGTTACAGTTATGGACCCAGGCCTGGTGGTTCCAGAGAAACAAGAAAATACCATAAATATAGAGTAACTATTATCCATGTAGAAATATTGTGTCATATCACGGACATCTGGAGTGGTGCAGCCCACCGTACTTTCACTGAAATCTGCAGAAAAAGAAAAACAAAGGAATCACAGACATGCAAAAGCAATTTCACCAGTTTCGTTAACATCAGTCTAATTTGGGATTTCCCCTTACTTTGAGAGAATTACTCAAACTTCCCGTTGTGTCTCTGACACAGGTTTATTCATTCATTATTCATTCCCTACTTTGCCAAAAGCTAAAAAAAGTTTTGGCTTTATATACACTTTAAGGATTATGTTGTTATAGAATAGTTGCTTATTAACGTTACTCTATGATGTAGATCCACTTGCAGAGAGATCAGCGTCCCTGGTTACCAGCTAACCAGGGACGCTGATCTCCAGACAGCAAACTCTCCCGGGCGCTCCGGGAGTCTCTCAGGAGAGAAACACTGCTGTTTCTTTTTTTTTCTTTATTCTGACACGGAGCCGTGTCAGAATAGAAAAATAAAAATAAAATTTTTGCCCATAGCACCCGCCCGCTGCTGCAGTTCTCCATCAGGTCCATCAGCAGAGGGCGGGTACAATGCTAGTTTTTTTGCTTTTTTACGGCAGCAGAACCGCCGGCCAATAGAAAACTGTTGGGCGGAGCTAGCTGTCATTGCTAGCTCCGCACAATCGTTTACTATTTATTTTTTTGTACTTTTTAAACTATTTTTCTGTTCTGCTCGGTCCCTCTGGGGGACCGAGCAGAACAGCCGAGCCGAATGCCACTATAAGAATAGACCGAACAGCAGTGAGTAGCCTGCCGGAGGTTCGGCTTAGCCGATTCAGATGTTGGATCAGCTGAGTCGAACTCCTCCTGCACTTCTGGTCGACCGAACATGCCAAGCATGTTCGGCCGACCCAAAGCCACGTGAAGCCACCCGATGTACGGCTGATTTCAGCCGTACCAGCCAGAAGTGAATAGCTGAACAGCTTTCGGCTCATTTCACTTCAGGTCGGTCTTTCACTCGGCTACCTACGGCAGCTTAGTGGATAGACCCCTATATTTCGTATTTAATGGATAAATATTTTTTTTAATTTTTTTTTATAAGCTTTGCTCACAGATATCCACTCTGTATCCGAAAGTCTGTTTCTGTTTAAACCTCATACAGGGAGCACATTGATCATCTGCTATGGAGCTGCACTGATTACACGGGTGTCTCAGTATTTCATGTTGGGTGTCAGAGGACCTTGTCCCAGCACTGAAAGGGTTAAAGAGTAAATTGCTGCGGGTAGGCATGCAATTTCACATCAAATTATATTTATGTAAGGAAATAAACGCACAGAAATATGAAATAACCTTGACATACCTCTTGTCGTGGTAGATTAAAAAATGCAAGTTTGCTGATTGCCGGTACATGGTATAGAGGCCTGTGGGATACACCGGGTCTTCATCTGAGATCGGCATGTTGGGCAATACAGTCCGTTGACCTGGGAACTGTCCTCTGCAACTGTTAGAAGGTAA